CCAAACGATCCTTCTATCATCGAGTTCGGTGAGCTACAAGCTAGATTTGTGAAGCTGCTGTGCGGTCCAATTTTGAAACGCTTCAAGCACACGGTGAACACGAATCACCGCCTTTGTGAGTGTATGGGGCCGCGAACTTCAGCGCAGCTCTTCCCTCACATATCCAGCTGGTCGCCATTGTCGATTTGAATGCCTGGGGTCATGTATATGCATGTCTAGCCTTTAGGCAAAGGTGCTTGAAGCGTTTCAAAATTGGACCGCACAGCAGCTTCAAAAATCTAGCTTGTAGCTCACCGAACTCGATGATAGAAGGATCGTTTGGAAAATCGCGGACCGCTAGTCTGTAGTGTATCGCAAGGGGTACAACCTCAGCTACTAACATTGTACACAAGCGACCGCTGGGGGCGGTTAATTTACGATGGTAGTTTCGTACTGGAGTTAGACTTTGGAAAACCGAGATATGCAGGCGTTTCCTGGATTTTTCAGAGGAGGTACTGCGATCCCCCCCGCGCCCTTAAAGGACCGTGCAAAGAGTACTCTGTTGTCGAGTAGATACCAAAACGGAGGAAGTTCTGTCAAATGCAGTTCATTGTGCGCGATGCTTGAATCTCTTCATCGAATCACTCCGCACCCAATTCGGTTGCACCCGAAACACATCCGTGAGTTCAGATGACATCGCCGAAGGTTTGACCTCGGTACGCCTACTGTCGTGGTGAGAAGCGTGCACGAGTGTCATCGATTGTCGGGTTGATGCAAATTGCTCATTTTGCCGTTGGGACAAGTCGGGACACCCATGGAACAACTCTGTTTCTCCACCTGCATGAGGTCGTGGGCAACGTCTTCTTTTTCTGCACCCCAGGTGGGCGCCCACCACAGTATCTACCAGTACTGTTGAGGCTATCCAGCTGCGAGAGGGACGTGGACGTCGCGCCTTCTACGACGGCGTCATGCTCAGTTTTCATCAGACCGTGGTATTTTCTGTGGACCAAGTGGCCGTTAAGCCTTTTCTCAACTTCAAGGCGACGAGACGCACACAACACTCCGCCTTTTCAACACACAACATATTTCCACACAGCGACCGATACAAAATACGTTTGCAGACATATGTTGCGAGTGAACATTGGCTTGGAAACCAATCACTTTGACCCGATATTATGCCCGACCTGAGGCTGAGGTGGATTGTGCATGATCGAATTGTACAAACAGCATGGACTTGAAAACAGGAAAGAGGGTCAAAGGGTTCTCACAGAAAGCGGCTTCTACGTCGGCCGCCGCCCAAACCGAAAGCGGTTTCTTGTACGTCAGTGAGGCCCAACGGATATTGTACCATCTGCCACGGCATGACAAGGACATTTTGATACAGGTACACGGAAGCACAAGCAGAAAAGTAACTGAAACCCGGTAGTTCGAACACGTTTTCCATTTTCGGGTGAAATTCTTGGTGCACAAGGTGGTAAGCCTTGACCCTTGACCCTTCAGCCGACCAGATTCCCCGGAACAGCCCCTACTTCGACCTGCTGCTGGCTGCAATAATCAAAACCACAACCCACATCCCCAAAGTCGATATGCGAGACCCACCTTCGTACTCTGGGCGTTCCTCCGCGTGCGGCCCCAGTGCTTCCGATTTTATCGTAGGAGGATCTGCTACCAGAATCGACTCCAAAAGAGGCCCCGTGCCTACAGAACTGCAGCTTCCTTCGACCCCGAGTGCTGGGGCCCCCGTAGGAACGGGAATGGTGGGGCGGGACGCCTGAGTTTTTATCTCCTCACCGCTTCTTCCCGGGGACATGTCCGCTTGGGCGGGCCACGGAGATCGGAACGTCAGCTTCTCATTGGTACCGCACGGGCCCAAACTACTTTCCGGTCCACCACACTCTTGGTGGTCCTTGTCCTGCGTATCCTCACTGGAGAACCTCCTTGTGGAAACGGAGCCGTTCTGGCTCGCCATGGCTCCACCCACGTGTCGTCGGCAATATTTCTTGTTGCCCGTCTCTCTGCCGCCGAAGTTTGCGATTGCAGTACAACCCCAAGGGTAATCGCATCTCTTGCTGACGACGTTGACCGTGTCTGGTGGAGCGTGCCGCTTGCAAAATCGGGGTTTCTTGGTGCCCTCAGCCCCGTACGACGGCGACGTCGTACAGCCTGAATGGCCGCACGTCACCGTACCGATGGGGACCATGTTGTCTGCAGCGTGTTCCGCACAGACCACCTTCACGCCGCTTCCTGCGGCACCGTATGAGGGTCGTTTGCTGCAGCCTGGATGAGCGCACCCCTTGGTCGAGGTGTAGACGTTGACCATTCCCTCCTTCTTGTGAACAGTGCAGTACTCGGGCTTGTTGTTCTTAGCATCTCTAGCGCCGAATGATGGCCTCTTGGTGCAACCGGGGTGGATGCACCCCCTCATCTTGAACTCCACCACGGTCACCATCCCACCCGTTTCGTGCTCTCGGCAGAACTCCGCCTTGCTTGAACCGACAAGCCCTTGGGTCGGCTTTCTTTTGCACCCTTGTTGCGAGCATGTTCGGCTGCGGATGCAGACCATCCCCTCCCTCGCATGGGACTTGCAAAAAATACCTGCGCGACCCCCTTCAAAGTTGAAGCTCGGCCTTGTGGTGCACCCTGGGTGGACGCACCTCTTGCTGCAAACGTCCACCATGTCCTGTGTATCAGCAGCATAGCGCTCGCGGTAAAAACGATGATTCGAGCTACTGCAAAGTAGATCGATGAGGGCTAGGGTATGCCTCAAAGGATACCTGAATCATTTGCGGAGCTCCCACCCCAAGAACATGTGCGGGTTGGCACTGTTGGCAAAGCCCTGTAAACCATGCCACCCCCAAACACAGTCCCCATAGTACCGCCGCTGGAGTACGCCGGAGAAGTATGGGGAGTAAATAACAAGGTACTCAAAGAGCTCGAGGCGGCGCAGATGAAAGCAGCGAAAGTTATCCTAGGATGCTCCACGCGCACAAGCAATGCAGTCGTCAGGGAAAAACTGGGGATCCAATCCCTACGATTGGGAAGACACGCAAGGAATCTGACATGGCAGTACCGCATGTGCAGTATGGGAGATGAGAGGTTACCGAGAATAGCCTGGGAGGCGAAGTGGGCAAAAACAAAGAGGGGTAGACAACCCACGGAGTGGGTCAAGGTTGTAGAGGACGTATGGACGGGCTTTGAAATCGACGAAAGCGACACGCTGGAAACGAAAGGTCTAGAGGGGTTCAAGAAGAAGATATATGTTGCTTGCGTCGAGAGAGAAGAACAAAATCTAAGGAAAGAAACCAAGGAAAGGAGATTCTAGAAGTGTTGTTGTTGTCTTCACATTAAAAACCGTTCCGATCTCTTTCTACCCAGTACCTTCGTATGTCCGTACTGATCCAACACTCGACGCGGTCGATTCCCGTGGTCACAGGTTAACTTACCCTAAAAAGGTACACTCAAATAAACTGGCCCCGAGGGGTCCGCAAGTCAATAGAAATCAACGACAGATATTCTGGAATCTTCCACTCCCTCTGCGCGCTATGCGAGGTATCGACTGAGACTAGGAGTCACTATCATGGGCCGGAGAGAAAGAGGTACACCCCCTTGGTTCAATCTTGGTACTTCACAACGCAAGCAGAGACAAGGCCATCTGGCACAGAAAAAAGGGAGAAAAAAAAGGGAGAAAAAGAGAAAAAAGAGAAAAAATAAAATAAAAGGAAACAGTAAGAAAAGAGAAAATAAAATAAAAATAAAATAAAAAAGTGTGAGGATTGTTGAAAGAAGGAACAGGGTTCAAGGAGCGCACCTACACGGACCAATGGATGCAGTGACAAAGCTGAAGGTCAAATTCAGGACCGGGGACATTGGCCTTCGAGAACGTAGACGAAGAGGCAGAAGGTAGACGATGAAGACGACAAGTTCAAATAAAGCGATTGCAACGCCGCGTGCGAAGAACGGGTTCATGTAGTGGCGGAGTGTTCGTTGTACAAGAAGGACAGGGAAGCGTACATGACTGAGCTGGGAAAAATAGAAGGAAGGTACATTGAGATGTTTGAGGCATGGAATAGCGAGGAAAGCACGTTATTCGTACTGGGGCATAGGAAGTGGGTTGAAAACGCGGGAAGTGATATCGATAGGATAGTAAGACTAGGGAAGACATTTTTGAGCCGCCTTTGGCAAAGTAGGAAGGAACGATTGGACATCGGTGATCAATCTTGTGGGAAAATACTCCGTCCTCTCGAGGACGCGTGGTGAATGGTCTACCCGCTGAGGCATGTAAACCATAAGAGTACGCCCCCCGACCCCCCACGTCCCCCACACTCCCATAGCGTGTGCGCCACAAAAGCAAACGAGTGACACATGGACGAGTGGGGTGAGGATAGCCGCACACTGAAACCTCATGAGTTGCCTTAAGATTGGGAGTGCGTGACAAATAGACGCCTTGAGTGACAACAGCTGCATGCTGAAACCTCACATGTGTGAGATTGCCGGAGACATACACGCGTGCGGATAGCTGCATACTTTGAAACGTGACAGCTCGATTGGTGATTGAGATTGCCGGACACATAGACGCGTGGGGATAGCTGCATACTGAAACCTCACTGGTGGATTGATGTTTGAGATTGCCGGAAACGTAGACGCGTGGAGTGAGGACAGCTGCATACTGACACCTCATAGGTTGATTGGTTTCGAAATCGCCGGACACATAGACGCGTTGAGTGAGGACAGTTGCGTTCTGAAACCTCACGGGTTGATTGTTGTTTGAGACTGCCGGACAGATAGACGAGTGAAGATAGCTGCATACTAAAACCTCACAGGTTGATTAATGTTTGAGATTTGATTGATGTTTGAGATTGCCCGACACACAGAAGCGTTGAGTGAGGATAGTTGCATACTCAAACAAATTGCCCCGAGACATAGACGCGTTGAGTGGAGACTGCTGCGCACTGAAACCTCACAAGTAGAATGGTAAGGGGACAATCTCGAGATTCCATTGCACCTAGATCCGATCCCCAACCCGTACACCCGAACCTCCCCCCAGAAGCATAGAGGCCATGCCCCACACTCGACCCCCCCCTCTCCCTCTCCCTCTCCAAGAGGTACAGTCCAAAGTAAGCACAAGCTTTACCCAAGGTTAATTAATGTCTCTTGGTACGGCATAATAAAAGGTACTGGTCCCCATTGGGCGGTGGAAGACTAAGAGCTAAATAAGACATCCCCACGTGGATCCAAAATGGACTCAAGGTTAATGTCTATTGGTACGGCATAATAAAAGGTACTAGTCCCCATTGGGCGGTGGAAGACTTGGAGCTAAATAAGAATCCTCACGAGGATCCAAAATGGACCGGACGGTGGAGGGGGGGTGGGTGCTCTTTGCCTGTGGATATAAAAAACATGGAGCCACCACAGGAAACCTTATTACTCAGCGTCGAGCACAGACTGACCAACGACTGACCAACAACGCCAGAATTGCGGAGCTACATGTGCGGCACGGACAAAGCATTGTATTCCGATTGGAGAGAGGTGAGTACGAAGCAGTAAGGCATGGTTGGCCAAACTTTCGGCAGATAAATCTACTCCGGAGCGTAAGTGGGGTAGCAACCCATGGGTGGAGCGTACATGAGAAGCTGAACGTTGGTGTCCGCTCCACCCCGGCATGCGAGTAGGATCTTAGCCTATGCAAGTCCTCCCTGAACCTTTTGTGGTGAAAACGACCTCCCATGAGGAAACTTCGGCGATGGTCAATTGGGTGGGCGGGGGACATCTGGGTGTTCACCAAGCAGAGCACCCGGCAAAACACTGGAGTTCTTGTGCCAGGACGCTTCAACTAGACAACATACCCCATACACTGATGAACCCTAGCCTAAGGATATTGAGGCTAAAGTAAAGGTAACCGACCCTACGTGATAGCCGTAGCTGCACTGTTAGGGGTACTATGCATCAAAACCCAACCAACATAAAGGAACTTGTTTCACAATGTGTCCCCCGGATCTTGAAGATGGAAAAGTGATCGAGCCAACTAAATCTCGAGACACGGTCCTTGCGCACCGCAAAATGGCATCAGAGCGAGAGAGAGAGGGGAGCACCCACATACGCATAAGCGATACAACAGCGGTGGCGATTGAATCTCACCGACACACATGGCGAGCGCGACACCAGGAAAGCAGTCAGGTTTCTTGGCGCCTGGAGGTTGAATCCGTGCGCTTGAGATTTGTGGTGCTTCTGCTACTGCGATGGGTGTGATGTGTCGAAAAAATCCATTGCAATCGAACTGAACGCGTTGTCGTTCATCACAAATGCTGCTGCTAGGATACAGAGGAGACACTGCTTCATACTGCTTGCTGCCAACGTGCCCCGACGATGAAGGCCAGGACCTACTGGTTCTTGACCCTGTGGCTGGACGTCTAGGCTAGTAGGTTCAGTAAGCGAGATTGTCATAAACAAACAGCGATGATCCGTGCCATGAGCCCGGTTTTCGGGGGTTTTGGCCCTTTCGGCTTTTCTGGAGGATGTCTGCTGCACATCACCTTTGCTCCACTACCTCCTGCTCTGCTAGACACACTTAAGACAGCAGAAAGGCCCCGAGCTCGAATGGGCTTGTGCTGTGCGCGCGCGTGGTTGCTACCAGTGTCTCTCTTCGCACCAGCAGCACCGGTGATGATGGCTGAGGAAAGGACGAACCAGCCAGCTCAGTTGACAAAAAGTTAATTCTTTTTCACAGTGAGCAGGCACTCGCTTTCTTTTTCGTTACACATCACACACGCCTATCTCGAGTTCAGCAGTCGCACGAATCGCTGGGAAGCAGCAAACGCACACCCAGCTATCACCGCGTGGGGTGGCCGCGGCAGGAGAGCCTGTAACCCGCGCACACCGAATGTTGTTGTTGTGTTGGCCTTCTCAAGAAAAATATCCGGGTTTTTTTTTCCGCTATTATAGTCCTTAACCGTCGGAGGAACCTCAGCAAGATTTCGGGCGACAGTGACCATTTTTGGCGCACGAGTGCTCCATCACGGCGCGATTGACCTACTTCTTCCTGTACCGTCTGCTATGAATCCACATAGGCACTGCAAGCTCGCTTTTTTGAGACTCGCATCGCCTTCGATGTCAGTAACAAAAACGTGCCTAAAAGTCAAAATCACAGTTTGTTCGCAGTCATGTCGCCCTCTGTAACCTCAGTGACAAAAAGAGCTTGCAGTACACTTTCAACGCCATGTGCGCGGGTACAGTTAACGCCCGTAATTAAGAAACAACTTTTTACGAAACAATGGCTCAAGTTTACACGAAAAATAAGAAAACAGGGTTAAGAACCATATCTCTATCTGGGCCACAATATTGCAGGCATCGTCTCAAGAAGAAAACAGGAGCGACAGTGTTCCTAGAGGTCGATCCAGAGAAAGGGAATGGGAGGCGCAAAAGGGTGACAACCGTCTTTTTATTAGTTTCAGTCCTTACTCATGGGGGGGTTGCAGGACCTTGTATTTAGCGAGATCGAGACGTTTTAGCTGAACATATACGTATTGCTTCTATTGTAGAGTACTGCTGAATGGCCTTCGTTATAAAGTATGTACAACCGTCGGGGGTGAGAATCGGGTTCAGTCGGGCGGCAAGGAAAGCAACAAATCAATTGCATATTTAGCATCGTCCTTTCAGCAATAAAAGAATGAGAAATGCTGATTTAAGAACTTCAGCAGAATTCTGCGGCACGAAAAATACGAAGCTCGACATAAGAAAAGGACGACGTACCCTGAGTTTCAGCCCACCATGAGAATTTGAGGCTGGGCCGCAAATTGGCGTTTCTTAAGCAAACGGGGGCACTATCTGTGTATACAGATGTGAAGATCCGCCGCGTCCCTGGGAGCAAGGGCTCGTCGTCCAAACATGAGGTCTACGATAGTTCCGAAACAGCGTCGTCGGATGTCGGATGGACGAAAAACAAATCGAACAGGCCGGACACATTCTTTTACGCGCATATAACTAGCACCTAACTGTCACACCTGTCTAGCGTGTACCACACAGAATTTCCCCTTGTTGCTGCCCGCCTCTCCGTACGTTGGTGTGGTGCTGCAACCTGGATGGGCGCACTTCCTGCCGCAGACGTTCACCATTCCCGGTGCTGCATGGAATGAACAGAACTCGGCCTTCTTGCTGCCCTCCACGGCGAAGGACCTGAACGTGTTGCATCCACTATACGCGCATGTCCTCTTCCCTAGAACCACCATGCCTTCCTTCGCGTGAGCAGGACAAAACTCCTTTGTACGGGACCCCGCAATCCCGTACGTTGCGTACTTGAGGCATCCCTGATGGCCGCACCTCTTGCCCACCAAGTCGATCATACCGGCCATCGCGTGTGAAGTGCAGAACTCTGGTTTCTTGCTCCCCGGCACACCGAATCTTGCAGCTTTGACGCACCCTGGCCGGCCACATCTCTTCGTGACGATGTTCAGCATCCCTGGCCTTGCATGCGGGGAGCAAAATTGTGCCTTCTTCGACCCTTCGTCGCCGTATGACGGTGTCTTTAGGCAACCCGGATAGGCACACTTCCTTTTCGTGGGGGTGTACTTCTTCTTGGTGGTCCGGCCCGCGGCAGGTGTGCCGTATTCGCCAAACGTTGTAAGCGGTCTACTCGCAACCCCGTCACCCTCGGCGTGCTCGGGGCAGAACTCCGCCTTGCTTGAAGTCGCAGCAGTCCCGTGCGACAGCATCTTGGTGCACCCCGCATGGCTGCATTCCTTCCTTTTGAGGACAACCTCCATATTCTCTTCGTCCGTCATGAATATGTTCTCCGCTGGCCCTGCTGTACACGGAGAATGTACGGTACTTTGCAGGTAATATGCATACACCAGTGTGCGGCCGCTGGTGCTGTCGCTCACTGAAGCAAGTTTGAAGAAAAGAAATCACAAACGCAAGTCGCATGTACCAGGTACTACTTCAAATACGATGGCGCGTTGCTGGGCGTCTTTCAATGCCTCCTTGGTGCCGTGCGTCTCTCTCCTCCTGTAGATGCCGAGTCAGTTGGGGTGGTGGTGTGAGGTGTACCTTTGGGGTACAAGACACGCTCCTTTCCTTCTCTTCTCGCCCTCCATGCTGGAACAGAGACTTTCCTGGTTCGGGAGGCATTATCCCGATCGGGGTTGAGCTCATAGTAGCCCCCCCGCGTGGCTCTGACACACACTCGCTAAAGAAAGGTGAGGGAGACCATAAACCCCGGCGGGACAGCCCTCCCCCTGTCACACGCAACTAACCCACCCACACAGATCTGTTCATCGACAGCCCCCTGCACACACGCCGTCTCGGGTGCAAAAGAGAGAGAATAAATCCTACACGCGGGGTTGATCATCATCATGAAGGTTGCAGCAACTTGGCTGGCAGCAACAGCTGCGCTCGCTTCAACTCCTCATGATGTCGAGGCCTTTGTTGCTTCGTCGAAGACGCTGCGTGTAGGGCAGCCTGCCCGCCTCGTCGCCTCACGAAGTGCGTCGGCAGCAACCAGCTCCCTGCCTTTGAGCATGGCAGGAGAAGCCCCGTGGAAGGCCTTCACCACGGACGTGGCCAAGAAGGTTGCCGTCGCAGCTACTGTCGCAGCCGTCGCGTTCTCTACCCCGGGGGAAGCTCTTGCTGCGAGGTCTGGCGGGAGAATGGGAGGGAGGTCGTTCTCTTCTCCATCGGTAAGTTGGTTTGCGTAACATGGCTGTGTGATGGACTGGGAAACAGGGTCTGTTTTCTGCACACCTTGCTCCTGGTGCTGCTGTTACAGCAGTAGCCTTTGGCAGATGTACAGCAGTCTGCAGAACCTCCTCAGCCCTCACCTTGGTATTTCTTTCCGCTGCGCGCCTGGCTCGCAGGCTGCAGCATGATGAGTTGTGCGCGCTGGGCACTGCTAATAATAGCATGTACAGGGGTGTAGGTTTGGCTCCCACACACGCATGACCCCTGGCATCTCCTCGCGTCGCAGTTTTTGAGAAGCGAACCTTGCGGTTGCAGTTGAGGTATATTCCGCTCTGTGAAAAATGCTGTACACAATAGTTCATTACCAATTACCTCATATCATGTCTTTCTTTTCTTTCAACTTGCAAAAAGGGCGAATGGGCTCCAGTCCAGCTTGACTAGCAAAGGCTGCAGCCAGTGGGACACATTGTGGAACTCAAGCAGCTGTGTACCAGGACGTGGACACTCGTTTGTGTTGGGGAGGATACGGTTGCAATCTACTCGAACAATAGTTGATTTTTGACGGAGAATTCTCTCTTCCCTGCTGTACATGGAGCAATTGTCTTGTACCTTCTAAACATGTACCCTGCACCGTCGATGGGTTGCGCCGCTTTGTCACTTGTCTGACGTGGTTGCCCCGTCAGCAGCGGGGAGACACGCTACGCATCCAGCCCTATTCATGCCAAAGGGGTGCGCGTTGGGGATGAACCATCAGTGCAGTGACAAGTGTTCTCGCCGCCTCGCGCCCACGTTCTTGGAATGCTGAAATTTTTGGGGGTTCTTTGCCGTTCGCAGCCAGAGAGGCTGCCGTGTGGCACCACTCGACTACGGGTGCTTTGGGTTAATTTTGGAAAGTATCGAAAGCAGCTGAGCACTTAATCGTCCGTGCCCGCGTGTGTGATCTGTCTTGAGCATCCGTCTTCCATCCTCCATCACTGTTGTAGTCTGCGTCTGTACGCAAACCGTGCCCGCCGCCTACTTGGTGTTTTCTACATAGATTGGCTGTCAAGTGCAAATCTAGGTCGCAGCATAGCATGGGGTTGCGCCACTTGGAAGCTCCCGCCGGCTTCAAAAAAAAAAAAAAAGTAGCATTCATGCCTCCACCCTTCGCAGCGGTCCTCGCCCTTGCTATTTGTCCGACCAAGCTACCCTGCTTGTTGTCTATTAGGTTTTTTTTTCTGCCAAACTGCTTCATCATCTCGCCTTTTGGAGTCTAGGTACTCACTAGCACCAACCCCTGTGAAAATATGCGCTGCTGCTTCCGTTATCAACCATCCACACCACTCGAGAGCTTCATCTGGGCACAAAAACACCCACTTCTTTCGAGCTTGTCTTTCGTCAAACACGAAATGTTGCGACAAGCCATGCGTCCACTCCGCCTCAGCCTCTACCTCCTGTACCCATACCCTTCCCTCGCCGCCCCGTCCGTGCTTGCAGCGATCTTATTCCGCGCCATCGGCGCCGTCTAGATCTTACGCGCCGTCCTACGGGGGAGGCAGCACCACGGTCGTTCCCGTACCAGTTCCGATGGGAGGGTATGGGATGGGTTACGGTTACGGATCACCCTTCGGCTTTTCTCCCTTCGGCCGACCGGGGGTTTCCTTCTACGGAGGCGGTTTTGGCGTGAACCCCGTTGACCTCCTCGTGCTGGGCGGCGTTGCCTACGGCGTTTCACAGCTGGTTAAGGTACGGAATGCTTCTGTGTTCGTATGGCTGTTGAGTATGAGCGATGATATGCTGTGGTTCGATTGAAATGAGTCGGAGATGCACCTGGTGTTGTGGTTCACCCCGTTACCCCTTTTTGGGCCTTGGTTCCGTTTCGAAGTAATTTTTTTTTGCTTCCACCGCAAAAGAAAAAAGAGACAGAAGTGCAGCCAAAGAGACGAAATCTACTTCTGTAGCCGCAACGACTGCTGTCTCTACCTTTCGGCCTTGCGGGCTGCCCGCGACAAAGTAGAGCGTCATTGAAGGATTGATGGGTGGTCGCGCTGCGGACGGTACGGCATTTAGCCTTGTATAGACCTAAAATGACCAGTCGTATAGTTGCCTCAACCACTGTATTTTCAGTATTTTCAAAGGATCAGTGGAAATGATTTTATCAGAGGGCTTGTGGGCCCATAGCTGGTATTTGCACTTCCCTGTACCTTCTGTGTTTACCCACAGTCACACAAGTACCACAGCAGCACACACCTACCTAGCCGCCTACATAGGTTCAGGGGAAGGCAGGCGTGGAGCCATGATGTGTATGTACATGTAGTCTATGCTACTTTGTTTGACTCATGTTCACTGCTGTAGTGTAGCTGCTGACATGATGACTGCTGGATCTTGGGAATGGACGATTATCTCGATTGATGCAGCGTACCACGCTATCCTGGCTTTAGCTGGCCTTCACATACCCCTTTGGCAGTCGTCCGCTTTTTGGATTAGTGGCTGCCTAGGTTCGGGCGAGGGTATGTGTGGTGCTGTGATGTTCGTCTCGGAGAATTAGTAGGTAGAGAGATCAAGTTGGCATTCGCTTTTAGCACATGGCGCTTTTTTCGATGTTTGGCCCCCTTCCCTAGACCTACGTTTTACCCGGTGGCACTGACGTCTTTTCAGTGCTGCGCCGGTTAGCGAGGTCGATGTGAACAATAAACACGCACCTATCGACTTCCCCACACCCGGCATGGAGGCCGACAGGGCGGCAACTCCACGGCTTGCCACCACACCAGCTTTTGGAAAAGATCAATCAATGATCAGTCAGATTATCCGGTTGATATCTTTGGCGATGTCGACGACGATCTTCAGGTTGGTTGACAACGTACATCGTAGTTGGTGGCAACATTCCGCTTGCAGCAGCGGCCTCGGCACGTGTGTTTTGCTACGACGCGCGAGATATCGCATGGTAGCAAAACTCGCTTGACCACGAGCTCGTTGATTGGCGGGACCACCGACTCCGATAGACCTCTTCGTACTCCCTCGCCGCGTTCGGCACTTGACTCCAGACAACAGGCTGAACTACAGGACCTACAGCACATGCACCACAGTTTTGGACATGTAACCCCATGCCATGGACACACTTGTTGATCCCCTGGTCAAAGCTTCGTCTTGGCATCACAGACACTGCATCTGCATCATGTCATGGTCGAGGCGGAATAACCCAGGGGTCAAACTGCTGCCGTTTCGCGCTGGTCTTGAGGAAGTCATGCCCTTTGTCTCGTACCTCGCCTCTTGGCCAAAAGCCGCGTACTTACAGAATACACACACGCACGACCATTTTGGTCGACGGTCGCACTTCAGCAAGCGCAAACTAATAATGTAACCTTGCCTCGCCGGGATGGTGGCCGCGACGTCAGGGAGGAGGAACGAGCTTCGGAAACCTGGATGACTCGCCCCCGTCCAGTCTCGGAGAGGGTGTGGACGTGCTGAAGCTTCAGGTGGCGATTAACTGCCGCGACAGAAGCTCAAACTCCATCCTAGGTCAGTACGTGGAGAGCGTTGGCCCTGCGGGTATTGTGTACACTAATGTTGCTTGTTTTTTTTGTTCGGCCCAAGTTTCGATACAGATCCACGCGTCGACTTCGTCGCAGCCTTAGATGAGGCACGGCGGTCTCGAGTGCAAGCTCTGCACCGGCGCCATGGTGTGCCAATGGCGTGGCCACCGCCGGGTTCCGGGGGTTGACAGTGTAGGGTACACCACAATCTGTCAGGCTAGCGTTCAGGCGTGTCATGTGTCGGTTACACGCGCGTCTATTCCCTGCTTCTCGACTGTATCCTCCGGCAGAAAGAAGAGTGACAAAATCTTATCTGTACATATTTTCGAAACGCGAAACAAAGCACGGAGCCAACAAGCCAGTCATCTTCTTGTCGTATGTCACTGCTACTTGAAGGCGGAGATCCAGTAGCACCCGTGTCGCTTCCCGCATACCATAAGGTTAGAGACTGTACGAGCAGCTTGGATCAGATGTCAGATGTCATCGCGTACCGTTTTTATTTCGACGATACATACGTACCCCCACCCACCTTTCCAAGCCTTCACCCCGCCGCACCCTTCGTTTCACTGACGCCCCCCCCCCCCCGACGAAGGCGTTCTGGAGGACGTCTCTTCTCGGGGAGATACCGAGTCCCGGAGCGGGCTCGCCGAGGTGGTGAGTGAGGTCAGCCTTGCCCTGGCCCGGAGGTCGTTGGACTGGGTGGCGTCTGCGAGCGAGCTGGAACACTTCAACAACCGCAACGTGGAGAGAGCGGAGGCGACCTTCAGCCAGTACAGCATCCAGCTCAGGACAAAGGTGCGGTCTATTATAGTAGGTTGCTGCCTGAGCATGTGTCGATGCGCCGCCCTGTGGTGCATACTTGATGCATGGTGTGCTGTTTCGAGCGATGCGATCCGCATGACGACCTGTCCCGCGTACGTATGGCAGATCGCCCATACCTTCACGAGAGCGGTTCGTGCAACATGCTGTCGCCTTTCTAGTCGAGCGAGAGATATTTCGCTGTGTTTTTTCTGTCGCGGGGCAGAGAGGCAGACGCCGACTCCTGCCTTGCCGTCGCACAATCTCAAGGAGTGTTATGTTTTTTTTTTTTGCATCGACCGCGCGAACCAACTGGCCAACGGAAATACATCGGCCTTCTGCTTCCGGCCGGACGAAAATGGTGAAGTGGCTTTCGAGGCAATGAGCTGGTTTGTGTGTTGTGTGTGTTTCAACCCGTCTGCGCTACACCTCTCGCGCACCTCGGCACTGTGACTGTCAGAAAAGCATTCCGGTGCCACACGTCACCGACTAAAACGACGTATTTGACAGAGCAAGAGAGGAAACGGGGGGGGGGGGGGGGGGGGGGGGGGGGATTGCGTTCGGCACACGCCGGCTTTTGGGCCGGGCCACCCCACCCCGTAGCAAAAGGGGAAGAGACGGG